CGGGAAGAGGAGAGAGGAGAGGAGAGGAGAGAAGAGAAGAGGAGAGAAGAGAGGAGAGGAGAGAAGGCCACGGGAAGAGGAGAGAGGAGAGGAGAGGAGAGAAGAGAAGAGAAGAGGAGAGAGGAGAGGAGAGGAGAGGAGAGAAGGCCACGGGAAGAGGAGAGAGGAGAGGAGAGGAGAGGAGGCCACGGGGAGAGGAGAGGAGAGGAGAGGAGAGGAGAGAGGAGAGGAGGCCACGGGGAGAGGAGAGGAGAGGAGAGGAGAGAGGAGAGGAGAGGAGAGGAGAGAGGAGAGGAGGCCACGGGGAGAGGAGAGGAGGAGAGACAAAAAGAGGAGAGGACTGGAAAGGAACAAAGCATAAAGTGTGGAAAATAATTAACTATGCGTGTGCGTGTGTGTGTCTGTGTGCGCGTGTGTGTGTGTGCACGTGCGTGCAGTACCTGTCCAGGTCTTCGCTGTCCTGCATGTTGAACAGCATGGAGGGGATCAGCTTGTCCATGTGCTGGGGCTCCCAGATGATGGCCTGCAGCTCATCGTTCACCGTCTTCCTCACGACGCCCTGCAGCCCTTTGATCCCGGCCACGCGGATCCTGAAACGGACACACGGGGGCGCTGTTAGTCATCACGAGACAGCTCCGAGGTTTCTAGTGTTAGCATTTAGCAGGCTGTGTTAGCATGAATCTCCACGTTCAACTGGTGCAGGTGTTCAGCTGGTAGTTGTAGAGTCATTAGGGTTCATCCTCTGGTGACCTTTGATGTCTGCACCTAATTTAACATCCAAACATCGTGCAGATATTTCTCTCTGGACAAGTTGTTGGACCAACAAATGGACCAAACTACTGACCGACCTTTCAGCCATGCTGCTAGTACGTAAACACAGACTAAATCACTGGATAGGGTTTGGTGATCAAGCTTTACTTTATAAAAGGACTGAGCAGCTTTCAGGCTGCTATACCTGCACAAACATGCCACCATTAAACTCACCTTTAACTGTGCTGCTGAGCACACTGGGTCTCGTGATACTGTGCACTATTTGCACAAACAAATGGCCCATTTCTATGCAAACGCGCCTCATTGTAAAAACAGTCCATTTCATCAACGCAGTTACAGAGAAATGAGTCGTTGGAGACTGAAGCACATTTATAACCTCGACATATATTCACACAATATTTCTCTGTGACGTTTACGTTCTTTCATGAAGTCTTTATCGCTCATCGTTCTGCCTTGAAATTCAACATTCATACTTTGCATAATTACACTCAGCAGCAGAACTTATTGGGAGTGTTTGCGTTGTAAATATCTTTCTCTGCAGAGCGACTCACTCATCTTAACAACACTTTCATCTGCACATCTGCACACACTAACATCTGCAGAGGGTCACGGTTCACCGGTTACTATTCCTGAGTCTCTTCTTTGTTTCTGACACAAACGTCTTCATGAGCAATCATATGAAGAGCATGGTGGGTGACCTCGCCTTCAGCCTGATTCAATAACCACCAGAGGAAATCTATTTGGGAACTCCTCTCCACCTCCAGCGAGATGCTGCCGGAGTCAATAATGAAATAAGTGAGAAGTCATTCTGTTAACAGCACGGCAGAGAGGAATCAAGCAGAGGCAGAAATATTCCCAGCATCCCCCATGGACACACACACACACACACACACACACACACACACACACACACACGAGTCAGAGCGCTGCGTTTCAGAGGGACGACAAAAAGAAACGGTGAAAGTGCCCGTTTAAATGCGCTGCCAGGTCACAGCGTCGTGGTGCTCCTGTGCTATTTAAACGTATTTAAATGAAGTAATGTGAAGATGTTTTGCTCATAATTGGTCCTTTCTTTGTAAATGAGCCTCATTGCAGAAAACAGTCCAATTAAAATAAAGATCATCGCTGATGGACACCTTCTCTGTTAGTTCTGTTTGTTAACATTGATGTGGGCGGAGCATAAGTTAATATAGAACAACTCTCACAATAGCCTTAATCACTTCGTTTTCACATCATTTCATCAACAGTGGAAAGATCCAAACAATAAGATATCAATGTGGATATTATCCATTAAAAGAAGAGGCTGTTTCTGAAAGTGGACGTTAAAGCGTCTTCATAATAATAATAATAATAATAATAATAATAATCATAATCACAGCTCAGCTCGGCCCCATGAGGAGAGCTGATCAGAGAAACTCTCTGCACCATCAATGATGGATCAGATGTTGCTCACATGAACGTGAAGGACCGCTCCGGGAGGTAAAGACTGAGATTACACTCTTCATCATGTTGTCGTGGGCCGCTTCACTTCAGGGACCATATTAAGCTTATTCTTTTCTTTAAAAACGAAGATAATGAAAGAATCTACACTTGTTTCTTATGAACGATGCAGCCACTCTCTGGATCTAATGAGTAATAAATGAGCCATCTTCTTCTCCACTACGGGGATTTTTTTTTTTTTTTAATTAGTGGAACTAAAGTGGTGAGACTCAAACCTCGATCAAAGATAAACTGTGTTTTCTTCTGGCATACGAACCAAGTTCAACACAGATTCATTATAAATACACTGGATTCAGTGAGAGGAGGTATCAGGGTCTTAATCTTAGCTTAAGGTCCAGCTGGAACACTCAACTGGACAAAAGTAACATAAATATAAAGACTTTGGTAGTGAAGTCAGGATAATAGTCCAAGAAACAACTTCCTTTAACTTAGACGAGGGCAGAAAGTCTCATAAATTATATTCTAAGTTAGAAAATGTTGGAGCCTGACCTACTACACCTATAGATGGTGGAGGTCTAAATATTAAAACATCAGTTTTTATTATGTACATTTAAAGTTCTGAAGATATTAAACCAGTGCGGTCTGCTTGATATTGTGACATATATTTAAACGTCGACTACGCTGCAATAAAAATACATCATGTGAAGGAAGAGGGGGCCCACAATGGAACCCTGAGGGATCCCAAGATGATGAAATACCTCCAATATTAACAAAGACGAGCAGAAATATGTACAGAGGAGCATGCACCCTTAAAGGAGCAGTGTGTAAGATCTAGTGGTGAGGTCGCCAACTACAACCAATGTCGTAGAGACTTGACTTAAAAACACTAAAGTCTCTCTGGACTCTGTTTGGTTTGCTTGTTCTGGGAAACTGTAGAAACATAGCGATGCAACATAGCGGACTACGTGAGGAGGACCCGCTCCCTATGTAGATATGAAGGGAACGAAAGCACAACGACTATTTTCTATTATAATGCCAATAAATCTCCACGAATCCTACACAATGTTCCTTTATAACTGTTAGGAATAACGGTCTCAGTGCCGAATAACTGTAAAGAGTCTTCACCAGCTCAGAAGACACGTGTCTCTGTGAGAGGCGTCCCTGTCGTCTTACCTGGTTCTGGTCTCGGGGTCTTCGTGGGTAGAGTGGCACATGGCGCTGAACTGGGACACAAAGAAGTCGTAGCGGCGGTGGTAAGACGGCGTGTCCTCCTCAATGTTGGCAAACTTCACAAACTAGAGAGAGGAGGAAGACATCCGTTAGTGTCTCTTGTCTTCGGGCCTATCATCAGCTCTGTCCTCGATCCACCTCTGACATCAGATCACAACTCTTCGACAATGGAGAGAACCAGAACTCAAGGCCACCAAGAGCACAATGACACGCCAGTTAAAATAACGTCACATTGTTGCAAAGGGATGAACGGGAAGCGACGCCGATAATGATAACAACCATTAGAGAGCCCCCCCCCCTATTGTTTTGTCCAGCCTATAATTTCCTCCCTCCTAACGAGCGTAAAGTGTCCTCTAGAGAGGCCTCCTCTCCACAGTCAGCTGAGCTCCCCTCTCATTGTCCACTGCAACAAATTGCCTCCGTAACGTTTTAGGCAACGGCGGCCAAAACGCAGCCGTTCCACCTGTACTTTCCTCCCATTCTGTGCCTGACCTTTCTGACTCAGATGGAACGAGGAACGCTGGCAGATGGCGAACAGGAGAGCGGCTTCTCTTCCACATTACCAAACGTGTTGCTGAGTTACTGCAGCAGAGGACACAAAGAGCAGAGATTATATCCACCTTTACTTCAGCCATGACGGCTCTTTATGGAGATCACAGCGGCTGTTCCATCACTTTGGTCCAGAAGGAAACATCTCAACATCCACTGGATGATTTGTTACAATTAACATAAATAGTTGTCCCAAATTTAATGGAATTGCAATTATGAAATGCAATCACTCACATCTAGCGCCACCATCAGGTCAAAATTATAATTTGTTTAATATTTTTGGCATTCCCATCAGCCTCAGCTGTACTGAAGCAAAACAAAGCCAATGAATAAGAAGGTATTTATTTGGGAGGGGTTGTATTATAGCTTCTGCCACATGAATGTAGTGTAAAGTGAAATAACATTAACCCTGACAAACACTGCCGTGTCCAAACGTTGCATCGTGGCTCCGAGTGTGCGACTATGTTTCTGTATCTGGATCACGCTCAGCATTTACACTCGTAGCAGTTTGAACACATTTCCGAATGGATTTCACTTGAGGAGACGACTGAAGAGACGACTGAAGAGAGGGCGAGTGCTTTAAGAGGCTGGTAGTTACATCTGAGCCGAGGTTTCATCACGCGTGTGTACGACTGATCAGACAGCAACGGGCTTCACGCCTCACCGACGCCTCGCGGCAGAGCAGTTAGGATGTTCTATGAGGGAATGAGAGGGTGATACTTCCCTCGGGACAATTTAAAAAACACAAAAAACACAGGGGCATGTTGATCATTACGCATCAGTCTCGAGAGCCAAAGCACAGCGAGCGGTTGGAAACATGGACGTCTTTTTACAAACTGTGATGTTTCAGCTAAAACATATTCTACACGTCTCGCCCCAAATAAACTCTTTACTCTCAACTGATTGTGTAGAAAACATTAAATTCTGCGATTATTTTAAGACCAACAGTCATGTGACAACAAATCTAAGAAGCTTGGACTGAACACAGAGCAGAGCAGAGGGGAGAAGAGGAGAGAAGAGGGGAGAGGAGAGAGGGGAGGAGGAAGGGGAGGAGAGGAGAGGAGGGGAGAGAGGAGAGGAGAGAGGAGAGGGGAGGAGAATGCAGAGAGGGGAGGAGAGGAGAGGAGAGAGGAGAGGAGGGGAGAGAGGAGAGGAGAGGAGAGGAGAGAGGAGAGGAGAGGAGAATGCAGAGAGGGGAGGAGAGGAGAGGAGAGGGGAGAGGGGAAGAGAGAGGAGAGGAGAGAGGGGAGGAAGGGTAGGAGGAAGGGGAGGAGAGGGGAGAGGAGAGAGGGGAGGGGAGGAGAGGAGAGAGGGGAGGAAGGGGAGGAGAGAGGAGAGGAGAGGAGAGGAGAGAGGAGAGGAGAGGGGAGGAGAGGGGAGAGAGGAGAGGGGAGGAGAGGTTGTAAAAATGTAAATAATTCAATATATTTATACCACATAAAGCCTTTTTTTCCAACATTGTAACACTGGTGGACACTTGAATCAATGTTGGATATAGATTACATTTTATTCCAATTTTTGTAAAACACATTATCAAAGAAATTCTACTTTCTTTGTAATGATTTATGTGATAATAACTGTTATTCTGCACTAAAGACGTGTTCTAGTTCCCTCTACTTCTAGTCATCATGGCTGTTTCATAGAGGAGCAGGACTTTAAGGAGTTAAAGACACTAAAGCTGTCAAAGAACTTTTCCAAAAGAATCTGAGGGCACAAAAAAACAAAAAAAAGAGTAAAATGGAAGAAGATTGAACAGACGAATCAAATGTTTGTGAGCTATAAATAAACTCCCCTGTGTTTGTGACTCAGTGGCTTCATACGCGAGGACAGATGAGTCTCTGCTATAGAGACACACTTCTAGTCTGCCAAGTCCTCGTGATAAAGTTAACTTGCAGATGAATGTGGAAACAGAACATGGCTGTCAGCCCAGACCCCCCCCCCACACACACGTCTCTTAGTCAGCAGAATAATCTCTAACGTTACTGCACAGATTTAAGCGACATTTGGTGAAGTTGGATTACAGGCTGTGGATGTGGAGCCCACAGCGCCACCGTCTGGCCATTCACAGAGTACTTTACATTGAGGCTAAATTCTTTTTCTTCTGATATTCTCTCAATAAACACCGACGGTTGAAGCTCTTCTAAGTCTTGGGTGTATAAGAAACTCTGGAAAGAAGTTAACTACGAGTCCCAGAATGCACTTCAGTGAGAACTCACCTCCCTGTCCCTGCAGCCTCTGTCCTCCTCAGACTCAAAACACCACACATAAAGAGTGCATAAAGAGTGCAAGACTTGGAGGAGGAGACGGGGCTGATGTTCGCTGGCGGCTTAAAGCGAGCTAATAACAGTTAGTCTGTGACAGGATGTGGTAAGAGACACCGCCAAAGTAAGAGTTAAATGAGGTATTTAACCACCGACATCAACCTCTGGGCGGCAGCACAGTGACGGGTTTTACTGCTTTATGGTAATTTTGGTTTCATAAACAACCTGCACAAACACAGAAACTGCTTTTTGATTAAAATAATAATAATCAGTATGTAAATTCAAGGAGAAGAGGCCGTTATGTAGCGCATAAGCTCACATTTGGACGTTTTTCCACAACAACAAGACTTTTTGATAAACAGAAGAAAACATAAAGACCATAATAATGTCAGGAGCGTTGAGAATGATGTGAAAGAAGTTCAGACTTCAGGGTTCCAGCCAGCAGAGTATAGATATACTTAGTGTTAAATCAACCCTCCTCTAGCTCTGTACACGAACAAAAGCAAATAACTCATCAGCTGACAAAACACAATCTGTTATAATATAAATGTCTCACTAGCTCATCTCCTCATGCGTCTGCTTCCTTCTCAACGTTTACATTTCCTCTTGTCCTCCTGCATGTATACGTTGTGATTTATTATATTTTACCAACTGATTAAAGGTCCCGGCTCCAGTAAACGATATGTATTCTTAGCTTTATGTCGGACATAATAAACTCCATCAGGTCAAATGATTTCTGCTGGTGAAGCTGTTGTAACGTGAACGTTTGTTGAGCATCTTCCTGGATGTCAACATTTATCTTCTTCACCATCCTGATGGAGACATGAAACTCCTCCTCCTCCTCCTCCCTCCCCCCCACCCTCCCCCCCCCCCCACCATATCTGGAGCCATACTCACCATCAGCTATCAACTGAAGTTTGGAATGTTTTTATTTAATTTATATATTTATTTTATTTATTGATTTTTTATAATATATATATTTTTAATTTATATTATTTATTATGTATGTATTTACTGATTTTTCATTATTTATTCATTTATTATATAAATACATTTATTTTAATATTTATTAATTTAAATTGATTTATGTATTTATTTACTTATATTTTATCCTTGTAGAACTCCTTGTTTTCTCTTATTTACTATATATATATATATATTATATGTATAAATATTAAACGGGGATGAGAGAGCCGGGGGTAAATGTTCACCTGTACTTTCTCATGTATTTCACAATAAACCTGAGCTACTACACAGTAGAAGCTGGTGTTCTGCATTAATGTTTCTGAAGGTCTCGATTCTCACCGAGTTGGTCCCGAGGACCTGCAGGTCTGGTTCTCTGGACTCCAGCAGCTTGGCCACCATCTGCAGGAAGCTCTCCACGAAGGGTTTGATGCTCTGAGAGTGACAGGCCATCAGCAGCTGGTCCAGAGCCTCCATGGCTATCACCACGTTACTGAGGAGGAGGAGGAGGAAGAGGAGTACGATGAGGAGGAAGAGGAAGAATATTATTCCGATTTTTCTTTCTGATATTAAATTTAAAATATTCTTCTGTATCAGTCAGCTGTCAGTGATTTACACTCAGCAGGTTATGAGTTAAAAAATAATAACAATAACAATGATAACAATAGTAATAATAATAATAATACATTTATTTTGAATAGCACTTAAAAAGCTACTCAAAGGCACTTTTCATGGTAAGCCCATAAACAGTAGCAGCTGATAAATATCTATATTATAATAACAATAACATCACATGAATATGCATCACAGGTTAAAAGCTGTAATGTTGACTGGAGGAGTGAGGGAGAGCGTCTGAGGTCTTCTGCAGCAGCAGCTCATCACAGTACCTGACCACATGCAGCAGCTCACAGCTGAGAGCACAGACTGAGAACAGAGCGCTTCACTTCCCAGCAGCCTTCTCCTCTCACATCACATGCAACATGTTGATCTTCACTTCTGACACTGATATCGGTACCGAGTATCCCGATCATTCAGGGCGAGCCCAGCGCTGATTTTAACGACACGTGGGCGACCGTAGACCATCAGATACGTATACTATGTATGATATTAGAGATGGAAGACGGAGGGATGCGTTTGTTCTCCTCCCTGTCGGCTTCTGGCTGCTCGTGACGTAATCATCAGCGTATTGATCCGGTCTTCTCTTCAGAAACACACGAGGGAGAGTTTTTGTTCTCTCATGATCATTTGAATCTCTTTCCGGCAGCAGAAGGCGCCGAGAGGTTCACGGAGATGTAAATGAATAAGTGTGATCATTTCACAGAATCCATTCTGATCATTGTGATGAGTTTAGTGACGCTTTCTGTTATTAAATGTCTCTTAACTCTTCTTTTACTCTCTCTGTTTACAGGTGAAAGTGTCACATTCTGTCTTATAAATAAGTGAGGAGCACAAAATATCTTATATAAGTCTATAGGTTTCCCGTGAAGAGGTCTTTTGAAAAGACCATATTCCATATTCGTGTAACGTGCTGCTGGACTTTTTGTAGAAGAAGGAGAAACCCGACGGTGCAATGAGTGACTCACCCGTAGCGGTGTCGCAGCACGTCTCTGCTCAGCCTCTCGGCGAGGTACGCTCCGATCCGGTCCAGCTTCTCTGGAGCCGACACGGCGTAGAAGGTGAGCTTCTCCATGTCCGACTTACTGAGGCCATCCTGAAGGAACAACACACAGAAGGTGGTCCGGGTTCATGCTGCTGTAGGATTCTAACTAGAGCACCAAATGTGGATTAATCCACCGCTGAAAGTAGTCCCCAAAACAAATGCTCTATTTCCTAACATGTAAAATAAACATCTCAAAGTTACAAAGTCAAGACACCTTAAAGAGTCACTGAGCTAGAGAGTACAAGTCAAGTAGTCCTCTTTAACCTCCAGCAAAGTTCATTATGTTCCTTCTTCATGTCACTGGAACTCTTCATACTAGCAGTGATGTTAGAAGTCCTGTGAATGTGTTTGAGTTCCACTTTAACGTCACAACAGATCGCTGCTCAGAAGAACTGTCAGAGGGACAGTTCACCCCAAACAACACATCTGTGCTCTAACCCGCAGTGCTGTTCATCACGGTGGACTGTTGTGATGTGAGCTGCATCGTTGAGGAGATATCTGCCATAAAGATGTCCGACTTCTGAGCCGAGTGTTGAGCTGAATGTATTTTAAGGATTTTGGAAGTTCTTGTATTGATGCTCGAGAAACATTATGTGTTTATAGACAAGAATAATAAAGAAATGTGTTTTTCTCTCGCAAAATAATCAAAAAGAGCCAATAACAGTACCGACAACATCCTAGTGATACCCGTCCCTACTGTGGAGTTAATGCACCACAAGCCGAGTGACGATTCGTCCCATTGTTTTGAACATCTCTGCAGCAGACAAACCTCTGTAGGTGACAAACAGCACTACGGGTGAGAGGATGGATACGGATTCTTCATTTTGTCCCTTTTACATTGTCCTCGATTAAGATTCTACCATTTCTCTCAGAATCATAAAACAAAGTTCTCTGTGGAAGAATTGCCTCTTTGTAAACTTGTTAAGGACTCAGCATATATAAATGCATTACCAGCAGGTGTCATGCATAAAGAGGAGGGAGTTAATTGGAGAGCGTCGGTCCCCCGAGTGCTTATAGCTCCTCAGGCTCTCGGCAAGTGATAATTAAATTGACAAGGTCTCGACCATTGGAGCATTTCCATTTCCCACTGCACCCGTTTGCTTACACTAAAAACCCCTTGAGAAGATATCGGGGGGGGGGCAGACGCTCCCTTGAGTACAAACCGCGAACATGTTTAGCGTATTAATTAACAGGGGTCGAGGAATCAAATGGATTAAATTACTCGTCTAAGCTACGTCACGTCGGATGAACACTGAAGCTTTTCTCTGCGCTCGACCAATTATTTCTGTCAAGACTGAGTTCATCACAGCCAGAAGCTGTGACGACCGTCACTATCCTGAGACTTTCATCTCTCCGACGGTCATTGAACACATGCTAGTGCTAATAAAGAAGAAACATAAAAGAACAGTGAGAGAACTATTAGTCTCAGAAACCTTAGATTACATCTGTGTGGTTTTAAGTTAATTGAGGATGCAGTGACTTACTTTGGGGTCCTCGGGGAAGATGTTGTCCACCAGGCGTTTGTACCTCGGCCTCAGGGGCCCACAGCAGCCACACACTCCTGCAACAGACCACAGAGACACGACTGTTAGGATATAAACACACTGACCTCCTGACTTTCTGTCATAAACCACCACCATCAGGTCTGACTGAAGCAGACATGCATGAGATAAAGACAGAGAGACCTTCAAGGTGTCGTCTTTACTCACAGACCGCTCTGGAAGCTTGATAGTGAAATAATCAACAAATAAGGACCTTTTTAACTTTTACTTTTATTTACCTCCCGAAGTCAACATCACCACTTTCATCTGATGAATGATTTAATTGTCTTCTCCTCCTCTGACTCACGTCGAGCTCCGAGACAAATCCAAACTGGCTGTGGATTCAGAGGGAGTCTCCTATTGACCGGCATCAAATTAGCATTTTGCAGCAGCCGCCTGCGAGTCAATAGGAAGTGATGAGGCATCACCGTGGAGGCTCGGCCGGTGTGAGGCGAATAAGTTAAGAGTCGCAGAGGGAACGATTACAGAGCAGCCGACCGGTCGAACATCAGGAAAATTTCACTTTAACTCATCACTTTAAAGACGTTTAAAGAATATTAATAATGAAATCTCAGCTGAGTTCCATTTCTTCCTGACCACCGCAGACAGAGGATGAATTCATAGAACCAGGGTTACATATGTAACTTCTCGCTTGGAGCAGAATTCTTTGAGATTCTTTGAGACCGCCAGTAAACCAGTAAAAAATGCTCAGATCCTTTCCCTCCTCGGACTCAGAAAACCTAACTTTAGGGACTTCATTTCCCAGGAGCCCCTGCTCAGATAGCTCACATAAGGTGAAAGGTACCCTGGGTGCTCTGTAAAGACCTCTAACGCCATTAAAACGTCACCGTAAGACCTCCAGAGTTTATTTCCCGGCTAACAGTCCTAAGGCAGCTCCCCACCTGGAGGGGGTCTGGAGATTAATCAGCTTCATTAAACCACGTATCAACGGCCTGTCGCCATCATGGATCCTGCAATTAGCCGCTGCGTTAGAGTACAGAGCGGCGGGGGGGCCAGACAGGTTCAATGGAGCTCAGCTCCGAGTGTGAAGAAGTCTGTGGACCTTCTTCTTCTTCTGGGTGGTTTTAATGTACAGCAATAAAATAAAGCTAAAGATGAACTACAGGAAGTGGCTAACTTCAAGGTTTCCTTTCCAAAACGTCATCATCATTCAAGCGACTTAACGGGGGTTAAAAAAAGAAGATAACTAGCAGTTATTGGCTGATTTGATAGATTATTACAGATTTATCATACAACAAACTGCAGCACAGACATACCAAAACCATATTAATACATCACATGAGACTAGTAATTACCGTATGGGGGCATTGTAACATCCCACATGTTATGCACAGTAAAAATAAAGGTTCATTTTATTTGTTAAGTGTAAAAAAAAAAACGTTTTTATTTAATTTATTTTTGTAAGCCGAATTAGTTTTTAATAAAAATCAATAAAAATCATATATCGTGTGCACTTTATCCATGTACTCATATATTTTCAGGTCATATATAAATCATCTAATGAACTACTCTCGTTTCTCTCTCAACAACTAGATCCATGTAAATGAATGGTGTATATAACACAGAGTTACAGTCTGAAAGAGGCAACCCTGATCAACCCTGATCAACCTTCCAGAGTCCGTTTCATTTATTTATTCTAAACCAGTTCAAGATCTCCATCGTTCTCTCACAGCGACACGTGATTTGAAACGATTCAAAGTGTTCTGGAGCGGCGATGCAATCGGACAATATGGTGTCGCTTTACGTGATAACAACAAAGACACAGAGTCAGTGACGTGAAGGAACTGAAACCGGGTTCGGTCACAATCGTTCAGCTCTTTATGTCCACTAACAAAGAACAACCACGCACAATCACAAACATGCAAGTACATATTCCTGGTGGAGGAGCTGCCACCATGAGAACCGTCCAGAGTTCTGTGTGAGAGTATTAAAACCATATTCTGTACATAAGAAGTAGACGTAGTTGCCGTGACGTCACTCATTGGCTTTGAAGCCTCGAGTTTGGCTTTTTAGGTCGTCGCCATCTTGCTTTTATGCAACAGGAAGTGACCGTATTAGATCTGAGGAGGAGTGACGTAGAGACGCCGTATACGTCTCTGGTAGAGACCTTTCAATCACCGTGTAACCCCGCCCTAAAGCATCCCCTGCTTTATGGTCTGTTTGACTCTAAATGGACCATAATGTACTAAATGAACATCATGCTGTATTGAAGAAGACTTGAAACTAGAGATTGAGACCATAAACTCATGTTTACAATGTTTACTGAGGTAATAAATCAAGAGAGAAGTAGAGTCATTTTCTCATAGACTTCTATACAACCAGAGGAGTCGCCCCCTGGTGGACACTAGAGAGAATGCAGCTTTAACACATGAAGCATTGGCTTCATTTAGCAGAACCAGAGGTTGCCGCCTGTTTTTATATATTTGCAAATTCTATATGTGGATTTTTTACTATTGGTTTGATAAAACAAACTAATCCAAAGACGTTACTTTGAGCTGTTTTGACTTCTGACGCTCCATCATCCGTCTGACACGGACCAAACATGTCTCCTGACCGCGTTCATTCCCGCGGTCAACTTGTTTGTTTGTGCAGAGAAAGAATAAATGAATGACAGCAGCTCCAAATTACATTAAACCCATTGTGTCTCAGAGCGCCGTTGCTTCAATACTGTAATAGAGGCGATGCATCAATGTGAGCGTCCGCCTATAGATCTGCAGAGAGAGGCTGCATAATCGCGCTGCAGAGAGAGGCTTCAGATGGAGAGATTGTGGTGGTCACACGGACTGATGAATTACACCTTGGCGAAACTAACTCAGCCGGCTGAGGAGAGGCCATTACGGAGCATCAGATCCATCATCCCGCTGCGAACACAAACACAGAGGCAGAGAGGAATGAATAAAATGTAAAACGCTTACACAACCGGCCGCCGTCACGCGTACCGAGACGTCGTATGATCACGACAGGAGATTCACAGACCCGGAACGTGTTTGTTCAGACAATAAGACCGAATGTTTAAAATCTATATTTCAACGTTTGTAGTCCACACGTGCTTTCATTAGAGTTGCATGTTGGGTAAAGATGTTTTCATCATGGAGCACCTGAGCAGAGTACCAAGATAATCTTTAATTCTTCATCGATCCCCACAGAGGAGAGGACGGCCACAGAAACACACTGAATACACAGGAAATACTCAGTGGAAAAATACTGAGAAACCAACACACACCCTGAAACAGAAGAAGATCAGGTTGTTTGGTGTAAAATAACGATCATAATAAAGTTTATGTTAAACTGCAAAAGGAGAGTAATCTCTGTTGTCCATACGGGTCGTCTTCACAGCTTCAATCTTAAATAAATGATCGAACAATGTTAGAAAGTGAAACACTTCTTTATGGTCAACAACGATCAGACGGCCCAACGAGGAACAACAATGTCAGAAACTAGACACTTCATCAAGGTCGTTTCCATCACAATATAAACAACAATAAACATGTTGTGTTGTATTTAACAACAGAAACCAAACCTCTTATTGTCCTATATTGTTCAAACACAGCATTATAAATCTGACGAGACATTCAACGCCAAGTTTGTACTAAAACTTCCTTCTCTCCACGATAACAAGTTTCAGGACAAATATCAAAGCAATGCTTTGATATGTGTTGAATATTAAGCTGTTCTTTAACAAAACACTACTTTCTGTTCAACACAGCAGCCTAAAGACGTGAACATACGTGTCAACTTCTGACGCAACACAAAGCAGACAAAAACATTTGAACGTGTGAATTCTTAAGATCTCAGTGATTGATTTAGAATTGATATTTGAGTGAAAACGAGACGATTGTGTTCAGAGCTCATCAGTCTGGAGTCTTGTGCGTCGTACTAACAGGACTTATATGTGTGTACAATACTGTAAGACAGCATCAACACAGACCTCCAGTGCACATATATAAATATTGCAATACTTTGATCAGTCGGCCTTATTTCTCATTAATTAGTCCTCCTTCAGCGATGAATAAAGACCTGAAAGAGGTTTAAATGAGAAGTCTCTATGTTTGCCACTTTAAGTCTAAATTATGACGAATGAATAAATAAGTAAAAGGCAAAACATATGTGTAAATTTATTATTTAAATGTTTGGCGCAACCAAACGTACTGAGGTTATAAAGTGAGAGGGTTTCTAGAGTAACAGCAATAATTGTGGACACATAATAGAACTGAAAACTATATTATTGTCTTGATGTAGCACAAAATATGCATTTCAAATATAGCTCAACGCCTTCCTTTAATTTAAAATGTTTTAATACACATCGTTAACATATTTAAAGCATGTTAAACTCCCTCCCTGCTCCAACGGTGCAGGGAGGGAGTTTGTGCTCCACTAAAGCTGTGATATGATATGATTGAGGGTTCTGGGTTCGTCCGACCTACCAGAGCTCAGCAGGCCTCTCCTGTTTGAGGCTCGGCTGTAGCTGAAGGCTCCGTCGGCCTGGGCCAGAGGAACCGGCCTGTACCGCCTCAGGACGCCCCGCCTCAGGGGGACACAACCCAACGGCATGACCGGGAGAGACGTCCGCTTCAGTCTAAACTGGATTTCACAGGAAAACGACAAAACAGGTTCCGAGTCGGGCCGACGTTTGCATCATTCAAAGACTTTAAGCTTCCAATTCACCTCACCGACGACAACAACATTCCAGCTTCACCTCTCTACGGATTCTTCCTGCCACAGGAGACATCACCTGTCCGACGGGCAATGAGTTCGGCCAATGGGACATCAGCTCGAGCGGCGTGTCCGTCATCAGCCGGGATCACGCTTCATTCAGACGGAGAAGACGAGAAGCCGCCGGGTCTGAATGTGGGCCTGTCTGCAGCGGCTCAGGTTACCGGCCTCTTGTGTTCAGAGGGAAACAAAACGTGATCCAACACACAGATGGAGACAAAAACCCTGCAGCCAGAAAAGCCTCCCAAGTCTCTGTGACTTCACACAACAATGAGCTCAAAAGACACAAAATAGTGACCCGTCACCGTCGGGTCTGCTGCAGGAACCGGACCCGTTTGACCGTCACGTCAACGAGAAAGCCGAGTTTCCTTCATCGAGTGAGCAGGAAGAGAGAAACCTGAATAACTGCACAAGTGAATATGTGCGAAATGAAGACTTCACACTGGAGAAGCACTGCAGTGTGAGAGGATTAAAGAACATCTCGTCACTGGTGCTGGTGCATCCAGGCCCGTCACCATCACTACTTCAGATGGACAACTTATTGTCCCAGAAACAGTTAAAAACGATATAAGTGTCAATTTAAGATGCTTATATTACACGGATATAATGATGAGTTAATAGTTGTGCTTCCTTTCAAAGAGGAATGAACTTCTAAAGAATATTCAGACATTGGGATGTGAAAAAACATTAAAATATCTCAAATAAATAAAAATATCGTCTGTGAATTTTACAATAAATCATGAACGCAAAATTAGAAGTTATGTCCAAATATCCTACAATAGGTCGATAAAGTTAAAATAAAATAGTCATAAAACAAGGTCATGCCCATAAATGGTACATTGAGTCGATAACGTAAAAACAAGTTCATATCCATATATTGTACGTTAAGTCGTTAACGTAACAATTAGAGGTAAAAATTGTACAATAAGTCAAAGTAAAAACAGTCAAGGTCCTGTCCATAAATTGTACGATAATTCAATAACGTACAAATATTCAAGGTCCATATTTAATAAAATAAGTCGATAACGTTAAAAAAAACAAAGTAGAATTGAAAATAAAATGTAGAGTGATAATAAGAAGTGAGCTTGTATGAGGTGGGAGCAAAGCAATGTGCTGTGTGGTCGTGTTATAGACATCAGTTCTAGTGACGCTGTCTTTAGAATATTTACCACCGGGGAACTAAACTGAATATTATCTCTGCTGTTGTTACAACTTTTCACCTTCAGTTCAGTTCCCCGTCTGACATCAAGGTAACACAGTGAAAACCTCAAAACATCCAAACTATCCCTTTACGTTCCCTCTAAAACCCGCTCTGACAGACATCGTGTTCTCCGTCTTCTTTCATCCGTCCACACAAACAGTAAATCTCTGTTTACTTCAACCTGCACCTGAGCCGCCTGTGAGGAGCGTAATCTACCAGATTAAAGAGCCCCTCGGCCCTCCTGATGAATACTCCGTCCCTTTGACAAGCACATGAAAGCCGCAACGCCATCCCATCGACAAACATCGCTCCCACGGCCGCCCCTCGTTCGGCTTTACGGTTTCTCCTGAGGCGGGTCGGAGACGAGGAGGTTCACATTGAGGGGCGACACGCCGCTCGCTGATGCCGCGTCGTCCTTGGAGAGGAGAAGCGTGAATAAATAAAGTGGAGTCTGTGAAGATAGAAGTTTGATTTAAAGGCGTGAAGGAGAAGATGTTTCCCGCCTCTGAAGGACTACGGAAGAGGACCATTTAAAGGTTTAAAGATGACACCGGTCCAAGCAAAAAGACATTTTTAGCAGTTTTGCTTCTTCCACGACTTAATTGATATAAATCGTCAATGGGCTAATGGATTAATAGAGGAATCATTTCAGCTCAATGCTGGGTATCATTATGGCTCCACCAACACGCTTTAGTAAGCAGGCGTTTTATCTGTGAAGCAAAAGAAAGTCCACCAAGAAACTGTAAATGATGTTTAGTCTATAAATACACCCGACCCAGACTAAACCCACAAGGACTATAAGAACACTTTGCACATCCATCTCAGAGATGATCACTGCGACAATCAGAGGCACAGAGGAGCCATAAATATGAAGAAATATGGAGTTATAAAAAAAATAAAGTCTGACTTCCACACTATTAAAGTGATGGCTGACAAACACAGAGAGCTTCCTCATCATGATCAACTCCTCTATAAACGTTAGATATCTGTTAAAAAAATAAAGGCTGCTTATTTATGCGATTTGCAAATGTGCAAAGTGTTTGTCTGCTTTGAACAGCATGGCTGTGAATGGCTGCTGGGGCTCATGGAGTTGCATCATCACGTCCTGCTTTTTGAACCTTGAAGGGCGCACGCGCCCAAAAACAGATGATGACCCATAAATTTACCGCCTCCCCCGTCGCTCTGCTCCGCACCCCGGCCAGACGGACGTCTAAAGTTATACTGCTTAAAAAGAACAATATCTGTTTCTGTTCTCTCTCTGTGTGGCCTGGAGGTCTGGACCGGGTTCAGCAGTCAGCAGGATCATCTGACGGGACACGAGATTCACCAGCAAGGAAAAAACAAGGCTTGTTTAGTATCTTATATTCATCAGCAGAAGGTTGGCAACATTCATTGACCCCGTTTGAAGGTGAATCCAAAATCTCCTTGAAAACATCTGCTTCCATTAAATCATCTGATCCCGTTTACACAAGCCGGTGAGGAATCAGGCTGCTTTACATTCATACTTTGGGCATCAAGCAGCTGCGTCTCCTCAGGCAGCCTCCTTAAGGAGTCGACCCCCTTCACACACATACAGTATGCGTGATGTCAGGGTGTCATAAAGCACATTATAGGGGGGGGCTAACCAACAGCAGGAGAGCTAGTAACGTTAGCAGCACCGCTAAC